ACTCTTTTGGTGAAGTCTTTTGAAGAGCATAGGTGTTTGATTTTTAGAAGATCCCAGTTATCTAGCTTATCTGTTGGGGTTTGTGCATTGATGGTTATGGTTTGTATCCTGTTAATGCCATGTATTAAGGCCTGAAGTGTTGGTCTTGTTTTTTCTTCTACGAACTTTATAGTTTTAGGCTTTATTGAATATTATTGATTTTTAAAACTTTTTTTTAATTGTCAACATCTTCTAAGTTTCTAGTTGAATAGATTAAAATCTTTGGTTATTTACTTTTAGAAAATTGATTCTTAAATTTTTAAATCTGATATGTGAGTATTATCAATAAGGATGACTGGAGAGAAACATCACTAGATAATAAATAGGAAAACATTTTTAATATAGTAATGTATTGTTGTTTTGTGTGCTGTCAAGTTGATTCTGACTCACAGCCACCCTATAGGACAGAGCAGAACTTCCCCATAGGGTTTCCTATCCTGTAATGCTTATGGGAGCAGATTGCCAGGTCGTTTCTTCTCCGGAGCCTCTGATGGGTTCAAACTGCCAGCCTTTTGGTTAGCAGCCGAGCACCTAAGCATTGCGCCACCACGGCTCCTTAATGAATTTGTAGTGATCATAAATTCTTTCTTTAATTTTGATGTACTGTATATACCACAACATTTATTGTTTCAACAGTTTTTACATGTCCAGTTGAGTAACATCAGTTATGTAGTACAACCATGACCACTATACGTTTGCACATTTTTCCATCACCCTTCGCAGAGCTTGGTGCTCCCTAAGCCGTGACTCTCACTCATAAATTCTCCATGAGCACAGTGTGATTTCTGCCTTGTATCATTTACTAATGGTTGCATCTTTGTTACTGTGTTTTCAGGATTTAACACGACGACAAATGTAGTCATTTTGGCTGGCACCAACAGGCCGGACATCCTGGATCCTGCCCTGTTGAGGCCGGGGCGCTTTGACAGGCAGATCTTTATTGGTGAGATGATGTTCATTGGAGTCAGTCTGGTTCTCATAGGGATAAGATATAACTGTTTCACTGTGATTTTTTTTCCTTAAAAATAATTCTAAAGGACCACCAGATATAAAAGGAAGAGCCTCTATTTTCAAAGTTCACCTCAGACCGCTAAAGCTGGACAGTGCCCTGGAAAAGGAGAAACTGGCGAGAAAACTTGCATCCTTAACTCCAGGGTTTTCAGGTGAGTGGAAATAGGCTGCTGTACTGCTTGTAAGTATGTTACAATCATTGGCAGTTATAAGGTACTAGTTTCCTTTGTTACTTCTCACCTTGGGACTTCCTGAGTATATGTTTTTAACTTTTTATTATGAGAAATTTCAAACATCTACAAAGTTGAGAAAATAGTGTAATGAACTCATCTTTACCCATCATCTACCTTTAGGAACTATTATTAATTCATGTCCCATCTTATTTCATCTGTACCCCCACCCACTTCCCTCTGCCTCTGGATTGTTTTATAACAAATTCTTGACAGTGTATCATTATTCATAAATATTTCAGGAATTAAAATGTACAAATCAATGGTTTTTCAGCATATTTACAAGAGATGTGCAACAATCACTATAGTATAATTTTTGAGCATTATTGTCACCCCAGAAGAAACCCTGTGCTCATCAGCAGTCATTCCTCCTCCCTGCATTCCCTTGGCAACCACTAATCTATGTCTTGTCTCTCTGGAGTTGCCTATTCTGGACCTTTCATAGAAATGGAATCATACAACATGTGGTCCTTTGTGCCTGGCTTATTTCACACAGCATAACATTTTCAGAGTTCGCTCCTGTTGTAGCATGTGTCAGAACTTCATTCCATTTCGTTGCTATGTACTGTTCCGTTGGATATTCCACATTTTGTTTATCCATTCATCAGTTGATGGTCATTTAGATTGTTTCTGCTTTTTGGCTATTAAGAGTAATGATGCTCTCAACATACACGTACAGGGTTTTACGTGGACATGTGTTTTCATTTCTCTTAGTTAAGATACCTGGGAGTGGAATTGCTGGGTCATATGATAACTCTGTGTTTAACATTTAGAGGAACTGCCTACTGTTTTCCAAAAGCGGCTGCACCGTTTTACATTCTACCAGCAATGCAGGAGGGTTCCAGTTTCTTCCCATCCTCACCAATACTCGTTGTTGTCTTTGTAGTGGGTGTGAAGTGGTATCTCATTTGGTTTGATTTGCATTTCTCTACTGACTAGTAATATTGAGCATCTTCCTGTATGCTATTCCAAGTATTTTTTAATGTAAACTGTGATTCTTTCTTTCTCATTCTCTTATCTCCTTCCTTCTAAAATCAAAATGAAATAAAAAGGAACATTTGAAAAGTTTAAGAAGCTTATATACAAGTATATGGTCAGAAAAAGATGGTCATCTGAAATTTCGCAGGGGTCCTGACTTTCTACTTATCTTTGAACCTTGAAATTTATAATATTTTAATATTTGTTCGTTGAACCCATACATTGTACCGTAGCTTATTTGTACCATATTCTTAATCTGGAAATTAATTTGCAGAGACCTGTGGCTCTAGAAGCCACTTGGCAAGCTTCACGTTTAAATTTAGTTGTTTAGCCAAATGTATGAGATTATTTTATTTTATGCTTTTCAGTATATATCAGTGTATTGTCTGATATCCACACAAGCCATTTTCCCAACAGAGATGATGTTAATTAATGGGCCTTTTTAAGTACCCTTAATTTGTTTTTATATGAGCCTATTGATTATTAAAGTAAATACCTGTGTTCTTTTTTTCCCCACAAATAATGCACCCACGCATATAACGCTTACGAAAATAACGTGGTTGGGGGAAACCGTATAACGTGAGCATTATTTGTGTAAAAATACAGTAGTTTCCTGTAATTCCCTGCTTCTTACTCATAGTTTCATTTCAGTTCCAAGGGCCAGGATTGTACCAGGCTATTTCTGCATGCTAGAATAGTTTAAGGTTATAATGAATCAAACTAAATTATATTTACATAAAATCCTTATCTAACCTGTGTCTGATTGAGAAATGACTGTTGGTTTGGTCATCCATAATGTGAGTCATCGGTTTGAGTATATTTTGGTCTGTAAGCTGTTATGTTGTTCCACTTGCAGGAGCTGATGTTGCTAATGTCTGCAATGAAGCTGCTTTGATTGCTGCGAGGCACCTTTCAGACTCCATAGATCAGAAACACTTCGAACAAGCAATTGAACGAGTGATTGGTGGTAAGGCTGATGAAATGAATTTGAGGAGGGGATTTCTGTGTTTTGGCAAGATGTAGAAGCAAAGAGATGTGTAACCGACCAGTGCTGCGGCTCGCTGTGCCTGCCTGGGGCCTCGAGCGAGCGAGCGCCTCTCCCTGAGTTCAGTGGAGATGAGGAGTCCGGGGACAGCTCTGACCGGCGCATGTGGGGCTCGGGACGGCGGCTGACACTCAGCTTTGCTCCCTCTCCCAGGCAGCAGGTGTCCAGGATTATACCAACCTAGTTTTCAAAGAAGCAGCTCACAATCTTCCTGTTTCCAAGACTTCATAACATGAGTTAAATGTGCTCTGTGGATACTGGTGATGCACATGACAGTTTTCCCAACAAGAGCTTACTCTCTGCCAGCAGTGGGGGATGCGCGCTGCATGCTTTCCTTGCTCTCTAAAGAGCTTATAATTTAATACCCATGAGAAGAGAATGGCAGTTCAAGTCTTTGGGAATTCAGAGGAGGGGAAAGCTCTGGACTGCAGTGGCCAGGCAGAGCCTTACAGAACAGGTGGGATTTAAACAGCGTTAGTAGGAAAATGGGATATGACATGAAGCCGCCTGAGCAGAAGAGGATGAAGGTAGCCATGCATCCCCGTGTTAGAGGAGGGAACGTAAACTCCTCAGACTCAGCCTCTTGTGGGCAAGTCAGCATAACTGGAGAAAGCTGTTAACGCTAGGTTTTGGAAAGCCTTGAATGCTGAGCTCAAGGGCTGTATACATTTCGTCCTGTAGCCAGTGTTGAGCTACCAAGGTTTTTTTTCTGAGCCACTGATTAAGATAATCAGTGATACTTTAGGGAAGAGAGAATCTGGCTTTGAGGAGGGGGAAGCATCTGGGGGCAGAGATCTTGGCGTCATTGTGTGAGATAACAGGGCCTAGAGTGGGTAGTACTTCTGAAAACAGGCAAGGAAGGACAGACGTAAAGGCCGAAGGAAGAGCAGGATGTTCCCGAGGCAGCTGGTTTGGCAGAAAATGAGGGCGAGTTTGAGATAGGCAGTGTCCTCTGGAGCTGCTGTGTGGCACTCCATGTGGGACGTCTATGTGGTCCCCACGGCTTCCGTCTGTGAGAACGCTCGGAGCCCAGTCATGGTTCGGGGTCACATTTGGTAATAGAGGAGAGGAAAGTGAGTTGGCAGAGTCACCAGGGCTTCTGCGTGCCAGGCACAGTTCTGCACTGAAGGTGCATCAGTGAATAATGTGGAGGCACCAAGAAGGTTGGGGGATTCCGGAGACAAAGGCAGGTTCCTGATGGAGAGGTCAGGGGATGCAGGGTCAGGGGATGCAGGGCTGTTGAGGAGAATGACCTTTGGATTTGGTAGTGAGACTGAGTGTAGAGTACAGAACCAGGTTAATGAGACCCCAGTGAGGGGAGCGGCCAGCATACCCGTGTGCTCAGCGTGGATTAGGTGCCATATAAGCAAATGGTTATTGAATGAATGAACTCATAGGCCATTTATTCTAGAAATTTGAAATTGAAAAAAATCTAAGATGATAGAGTTGTTGCTGGAATTAAAATAGTTCACTTCAGAGACAGGTGAACATTGCGTATTTGCACCTTTTTATGTCAAGGGAACCTCTCAGTATTTAGTATGAAAGTGAGAATATGAAAGAGAACAAAGAATGCCAGGCAGCCTGTGGTCTGAGGTAGATGGAAGTTGACCTATTCACGGTTCAGCCACTGTAGACCGGAATCCACAAGCAATTGTTTTATAGTAAGATAGCAGTCTGAGAAAATGAAAAATTCCTGTAGTAAATTATAGGGGAAAATCTTTGTTTTTTCAGATAAGAAAGGCTTATCTGTGGAAAACAGGATTTGTTAGCTCATTCCCTATAACTTTCTACCTTTGTAGCCCGTGGCATATACTTGATGTGGGTTTGTGTCATTGGAAACATAGCTTTTTTCCTTTTAATCTTCCAGACTCAGTATGTTTTAAATTGCAAAATTCTCTCACATGAGTTACCTTAAACACAACAAAACTACTTTTGTCATGAGTGTGATGATTTGTACTTGGGCAAACTAGGTAAAAGTCAGTTACAGGTATAAAACTAGGTTCAGAATATATCTTTATTCAGGCCAGAAAAGACTCTTGCTTAGATGTGAGATCTTCAGTGCTGTGGGTAGAGGCACGGCCTCTCACAGTTCTGGACACTGCATCTCTAAGAGGTTTGTCTTCCCAGAGATTGGACTGGACTGTGGGACATGAAGGGATACTCGTGAGGAGTGTGCTTCTTAGCTCAAGTAGATACGTGAGACTAAATGGGCAGCTCCTGTCCAGAGGCGAGATGAGAAGGCAGAGAGAGGGTCAGGAGCTGGGTGAATGGGCACGGAAGAGCAGGGCTGGAAAAGAGGAGTGTGCTGTCACAGTATAGGGAGAGCAATTAGGGTCACATAGCAATGTGTGTATAAATTTTTGTATGAGAGACTAACTTGAATTGTAAACTTTCGCTTAAAGCACAATAAAAAAATAAAAAGAGGAACAAAAAAAATGGTGTTATCTTCTGAGGTCTACCTGGCTGCTGCCCTGGCTGGCCCCTTAAGCTCCTGGGGTATTTCCAGATCTTTAACTAGCTCGCTGCTTTCTCTACCACCAGTTGCCTTCTGTCAGGAACATAGAACAGTTAGTCTCTTGTGGCAAGCATCTTTTTTGCCTAGTACTTGATAATTCTGTATATTCTGACTGAGCAGTAGGGACCTTTTCAGGATTCTTTGTTTACTATAAGTTTTATATTTTTCAAGTTGTGCTAAGTGCTGGATTTTATTTTGCATTTCTGTTTATTTCCCAAAACAGCATGTATGGTCAGAAGAACGGGAGAGCTAGGAGAGAAGTGGGCCTGGGGCAGGGATGATGAATGTGTTTCTGCCTGTAGTTGGGTGTGTTTTGAAGCTGACCTTTGCTTTTATTCTGACCTTGATTGGGAATTTTTGAATTGTCATAGGTAGCTAAGTCTCTAAATGCATTATTGTATTTGTATCTTATATTGTGTTGGTATTACCGTCTTTTTATGTCACTGAAACAGTGGTCTTGGTGTTTTGTTATTTTGTTAGGTTTAGAAAAAAAAACCCAGGTTCTGCAGCCAGAGGAGAAAAAGACCGTGGCATACCATGAAGCAGGCCATGCAGTCGCCGGCTGGTACCTGGAGCACGCAGACCCACTTTTGAAGGTAAAGCAATGTGTGTTACACATGAGAGCCAGCTGAGCATGCGAACAATTGTTTGAGAAGAAAATTGCATTCCACAAAGGATAAATATATAAGATGTTTAAATTTAAAGGAATTTGGCAAAAACTTCTGGTAATGGCAGAATGAAGTGGTCATGCGAACCCTCCCACAGATAAGTTACAAAATCTGGAAAGAAAACTGCTCTTTAGGGGACCAAAAAGTGTTCAAAAGCAGACCAAAGCTAGAAGACCACTGACTCTTGAAAAGCAGAAAAGGCAGTGGCTTTCTTGTGTGAAGGTTTTTCCTGACATCCTCAGCTACAGTGGTGGAAAACGCTGGCTTTATTATCTTGAGATGGCAGAGGAGAGAGTTCAGGATTTGAAGAATACTGGAAATTTAGTGGGAAAATCCTGGAAGCAAGAAGAGTACAGGAGAGACCCAAATTTGAGTGAAACTACCAAATCCCTTGGTGACTGCTAAACTAACGTGCACAGCAGAGACCAAAGGGAAATTACCCTAAGGAGAGAGATGCACCTAGTGAAATTTTTAAGTTTTCTGCTTTTTTAACTGAGCACATTCCTCAAACTGGTGCAGCATGGACAACAGAAAGCAGAAGTCTTACTGATTTGAGATGCCAGAGAACAGCTGAAAATTGAAGGGAGATCCCCTAAAGCAAGGGAACCACAGAGAAGACAATGTTAAAGTTGCACGTAAAACATCCTAAGGAATCTACAAAAAAGCCACAAAAACTAGTAAGTGAATTTAGTAGCAAGGTTGCAGGATTCAAGGTCAATATAGAAAGGTAAGTTGTATTTCTGTATATTAGCAATGAACAATTAGAAAGTGAAATTTAAAAAATTCAGTTTCATTTACAATAGCATCCTAAAACATAAAATACTTAGGGAAAGCTTTAACAGAATATTTGTAGGAACTGTGCAATGAATTAAAGAAGACCTAAATAAAAATAGAGATATACCAGTCTTGTTCATGGAATATTAAGGTGTCAGCCCTCACCAGTAGATTTTTGTTTTAGTACAGTTTTTATCTTAATTACAGCAGGCTTTTTTTATTTATTTTTTTGTTAGAAATCAACGAGCTGAATCTAAAATTTATGTGGAAATACAGAGGAACTGGAATAGCCAAAACATTTAAGTTGAAGGGATTACACTGTTGGTTTCAAGTGAACAATAAAGATCATTGGAACAAAACAGAGTCCAGAATAGACCCATACACATACTTGTTTAATTGATTTTGAACAGAGTAATTTAACAGGTAATTCAAGGGAAAGGATTGTCTTAGCAACAAATAGTTCTGGAACAAATGAATATTCATATGTTAAAAAATGAAGAGAGGGAGTATATGAGAACTCTGTACTTTCTGCACAATTTTTCTGTAAACCTAAAACTGCTCTAAGAAGTCTATTTAAAAGAAAGTTAACATTGACCTTTCCCTCACACCATACACAAAAAATTAATTTGAAATATATCATAAAAGTTAAAACTATACAACTTCTAGAAGAAAACATAGGGAAAAAAATCTTTGTGACCTTGAGTAGGCAAAAATTTCTTAGGACACAAAAACCATGAACCATAAAAGAAAAAGCTGATAGATGAAATCTCATCAAAATTAAAAGCTTTTTGCTCTTTGAAACACATTGTCAAGGAAATGAAAAGGGAAGCTGCACACTGAGAAATACTTGCAATATGGATATACAGCAAAGGACTTGTATCTAGAATACGTAACGTACTCTTAAAACTCAGTAATAAGAGAACAAGCAACCTAGTAAAACAAGATGTGAACAGATACTTCATAAAAGAAGATATGTACACATGAAAATACTCAGTATCATTAATCATCAGGGAAATGAAGATTGAAACTAATGAGGTACCACCGAACATCCGCTGGAATGGTTAAAATTTAAAAGACAGTACCAGGTGTTAGCATGTGGAATACATTGGAATTCATACATTGCTGATGGGAATGTAAAATGGTACAACTATATTGGAAAACAGTTTGGCAGTTTCTTATAAACAAGCATTTCCATACCACGAAGCAATCTCACTCCTAGAGAAATGAAAACTTCCACACAAAGACTTTTATTGCTTTATTCATAAAAGCAAAAAGACTGGAAGCAATCCTGATGTCCATCAGTAATGAAATGGATAAAGAAGTTTTGGAATTTGTTCCTATAAGGGTATGCTATATTTTAATGCATATAATGCAATAAAAATGAACGAACTATTAATACACACAACAGTATGAATGAATCTCAAACACAGTGAAAGAAACCAGACACAAAAAGCATCTGCTGTATGATCGTATCCACATGCAGTCCTACAAATTACAAACTCATCTGTAGGGGTCAGCCAGCAGTTGCCCATGACTGGAAGTTAAGGGAAAGATGGACAACAAAGGGGCATGAGGGGACTTTTAGGGGATGATAGAGATGTTTTGTATCTTTATTGTGGTAGGGGGTTACATTCGTTAAAACTCATCAAACTGTATATTTAAAATGGGTACATTTTATTATATGTAAATCATTCTTCAAAGTTTTTTTTTTTTTAATTAAAAGAATTTACACAACTACTAAAAGGAATAGAAAAAAAAAATGAAGGCAGAGAAAAGCAGCTGTAGCATCATGGTCTGCTTTTTCCCTTCCTCCCCTAAAGGAAGGCGTGGCTGTGTCTGAGGTGGAGTTTAAACTGTCTGCACAGCGTGTCACCTGTCACAGGGGGCTCCCACATGGGTCAGGCATTGCTCACCAGTGGTCCTGTTGCCAACTCTGAGTAATTCCAATTGAGTTGTATAAAAAGACAAGAAATACTTTATAGAACTCTAAGGTAATGTTGTCTTAAGAGAAAATAATCCTCCCAAACAGTCACTACTGCTAGATCTCGTCTAGCCAAGGCCAGTGGCTTGCCCAGCCACTGTGGCAAGCTGAATCTACCGTGAGTTTTTCTATGGACAACAAAAACGTGTTAATCAAGTCTACGTTTGGTAGTGAAATCTTCATTTTGTATGTTTTCTATGACCAGGTATCCATCATCCCACGTGGCAAAGGATTAGGTTATGCTCAGTATTTACCGAAGGAACAATACCTCTACACCAAAGAGCAGCTCTTGGATAGGATGTGTATGACTTTAGGTGGCCGAGTGTCAGAAGAAATCTTCTTTGGAAGAATTACAACTGGTGCTCAGGATGACTTGAGAAAAGTGACTCAGAGTGCATATGCCCAAGTAAGTGCATGAGACAGGGTTTCTTCCTCGTTTTCTCATGTTTGCATGATACATTGACAGTCTTGAAGTGGCCCTGAAACAATAGCATTGTGTTTGACTGGTTTAGGCTTTTTGGGCAGATTATTTTATAAAAGAAATACATGTAGGTATTTCCAGGTTAAAGAGTAGTAGTACAGTGCCGTGTGTGAATTTGATGTCATTGTAAAGGCTTACTGCCATTTTATAAAAATATACTGACCAGTCAAGAAAAACGGGTGGCCACCACTAACCATATATTCTTTTTCAGATTGTTCAGTTTGGCATGAATGAAAAAGTGGGACAAATTTCCTTTGACCTCCCCCGTCAGGGGGACATGGTGTTGGAGAAACCTTACAGTGAAGCCACTGCAAGACTGATAGATGATGAAGTACGAATACTTATTAACGACGCTTATAAAAGAACAGTGGCTCTCCTCACAGAAAAGAAAGCTGACGTGGAGAAGGTAGGTGCCGGTTGTATGACTGATTCTCTACCAGGTTTTGCAGGAAAAGAGTAAAGGGATGACTGGATATTTTGGTTGGTTTATCAGAGTGTCCCCTCTGACCAGCTCTTGATCTCATTGATCATGGCGTTTCAGCGCCGGCTCTTGTCTCAGTGAAGTACAGCGGTGAGCACAAGCAGACACAGCCCCAGCCCTCGCGGCTGAGTGTCTAAGGGGAACGTGGGTGAGGGGTCAGTGAGGCCTCTTAATAACTGCAACACAAACAACAGTGAAAGAAGCATTCTTCCCGCCGAATGTTTTACCAGAGCTTTGAATAAGGAGGACAGCTGATTGATTGGAGTTTACCATCATTTTTACCTCCAGAATAAATGGTAGTGAAAGATGAAAGGGCAAAAAAAGAATTAGCCACAAATTAGATAACTGGGAAGCCGGCACACGAAAATGAAATTTGGCTTGAGTATGCTCTAACATGAATAAACACACTGAGTGGTTTTTGTTGTACCTCATTGGATAGCACAACAGGAATGGAGGGGTGCTCTCTGAACTCACTGGATTTCTTGCCTCCAGTAAATGAACTTTTCAGAATCTACGCAGACAAAATTGGAATTTTTTGTTCTTTGAACATTCCACACTCTAATGAGAAAAATACAGTTGTAAAAGCCTCTTATAAGGGATTGACACAAATAGAAGCATATTCTGAGTTATATTATTCAATCAGCAAGTCTTCAGAGAAGCCTGCTGTGAGCCTGCCCTGGCATCTTTTCTCAAAACTCATTGTCTAACTGGCAAGAGAGCTGGTGCATTGAAACACTGAGGCATGCAGCAGGAGCCAGAGTGGTGTAAAAATGGTGTGGGGGTGGTGTCTGACCTCCTCTAACTTCACGAGGAGGAAGGAGAATCAAGATCAACAGCCCAAGGCTGATTTCCTATGAGGTGGAGGTCAGACATGCCTCCTCTCTCCGCCGTCTTTACCAGCTCTGACACCAGTCATCCCACGGCACTCTCTACTTCTCTGCTGGGTTTGATAATTCATTGCAACGGCCACACAAAATTTACAGACCATGCTTACAGTTATGGGGTTCATTAGAGGGCAGGGCAGAACAGGGGTGCCTGCCTGGAGCAGACAGTGAAGGGTGATAGGACTGGATTATGAAGGGTCTGGAAAGCTAAGCATAAAACATAGAAACAGTTTTAGAAATAGAAGTGACCTTAAAAATTATTCGGTCCCCTTTTAGTGTCATTGGGAGTCCTTAAGGAATTGTGAGCAGAAATGATTAAGTTTATCGTGTAAACAGATGTGTGTGGCAGCAGTGTGCCATTCTGTTAGAGTGGGAGACGCTGGAAGAACAGAGACCAGGTCAGATATTCCTGAGATGATACCCATGGCGGCAGTGGAAAGGCAGAGGAAGCTCTAAAAAAAAAAACAAGATTTATTGATTAAATAGAATAAAAGAGAAGAAAGACCTCAGGATGACTCCAGGACTTTGACAATGGCAGACACGGGCTGGTGGAGGGCAGGAGAGGTAGTGCAGGGCTGTTTGACATCCAGGAGAGTGTGAGCGTGGGCATTTGCAAATGGAATATGGACAGGAGGTCCAGGCCCAGGTAAGGATTTGTTTGTGATCCCATGTAGCCAGTTGTTGGAAACAAGGAAAGAAGCTGTAAGAGACAACAAAGCAGAGGAGCTCACTCTAGATTATTAGCTTTATGAGAACAGAGTGTGTAAAATTTTTCAAAGTAGGGATTCCCCTTGCATGTAATAGAGGCTCAGATGTGTCCAGGGAGTATAACCCAGTTATCTTACTCCTTCCGTACTTAGAGTGCACGTGATGACAATATTTGACAAAGAAATACCTGTTGAAAGATAAATTGGTTTAACATACTGTGGATCTTGAAACATTAAAGAATTCTGAAGAACTTTCTGGTCCATCAAAGAAAATTACATATATTAGAAATAATGTTACCTCTCCTTTTTTTTTTTAAGTGTTTATCTACAACTGTATAAGTATATTTGTGGGTGTGTGTATACACACATATATAGTTAGGCAAATTGAGAATTAAAGATGTCTAAGAAGGAATTAAAAACTTTTAGTTTCTCCAGATCTTGTACCTGCAAACAGTATATTTAAAAAACCAGAGCATTTTAGTATTCTGATTATATTTTTTAAACAGTCCTTATCTCTTAGAGATATACGAAAACATATATGAATAAAATCGTATGAATCTGGGATTTTCTTCAAAGTAATCCAGGGAGTAGATAAAACAAAAATGGCTCTAAGTTGATAATTGTTGATAATGGTTACATGGGGATTGGTTATCCTTTCTTTTTACTTTTGTACGTACTGGAAATACTCAAAGAGTTTTTAAAGATTGAAAAGAAAAAAAAAAGTTTAATTATAGGTAGTCCCCAGGTTACAGATGAGATCCGTTCCTAATGTGTCTTTAAGTCGAATTTATAGGTAAGCGAAACAGGTGTATACGGTTCTTATTTAGCCTTACTTTAGTGCAAGAAAAGGCTCGGAGCCTTTGCAGTGATTTAAAAGCTGCACGTGCAGCAAGTGAAGGTGATTGTGATGTAGAATTTGTTGGAGTAGGTCATTTTAAAGTGAGAGCAAATGTACACAACATTAAAGGGCAAGTGCGAGTTGTCCATAGTCCAGCGTTCAGAACCCGAGGATTGCCTGTATAACATAGCTCTTAGTGTAGACTACAGATGTGTTAAATTTCTAAGTAGGGCACTATCTCTGGAACTAAAACCATTTATGAGATCAGTTCATAATTTAAACTGCTTAGTTTTCTTTACAGTAGTCAGGTGACCGAACGTGAACACTATTCCCTGCTCTCTTGACACCATCACTTGCCTCCACGTACATAATTTGTCCCCTTTCCTGTGGCCTGCTAAAATACATTGTGCCTAAGTTGGAGTTCTTCCATAACAAATAATAGAACTTCAGGATAACGTATTTTGGTATTAACCTTCCTGGTTTCATTTTGTATCTCTTCCCTTGTTTATCTGTATTCTTTGTCAACTAATTTTTTTTTTTTTAATTTTCTGTTCACTCCATTTCCATCCTTTCCCCTAGCCTGCCTCCCAAACCACTTTTATTACTTTCTTATGTATCCTTCCTAAGAGTTCTGCTGCTAACCAAAAGGTCGGCAGCTCGAGTCCACCAGCTGCTTCTTAGAAACCGTATGGGGCAGTTCTACTCTGTCCTGTAGGGATGCTGTGAGTTAGAAATGACTGGACATTAGTGGGTTTGGTTTGATATATCCTTCCAGAGTTCCTTTATGTATAGATAAACACCCAAAAAGATACATTCTTTCCTCCTTTTAAAATAAAATATAGCACAGTATACACATTGTAGATCTTGCTTTTTTAAGTATGTATCTTTGAGAGATATATAGAACAAAGAGAGCTTCCACATTTTTTATTATAGGTGTATAATCAATCGTTCACTGTGTGGATGTACCACTCCTTTGCTGGTGTACATTTTTGTTTCTGATATTTTGCACATCTTACTTTAAAATGGCATGACCTTATGTATGAGACATCTTTTTGAGTGGTCTTAAATCCTTATTTGGAATGGGGTGGGCTGTAAATAAAAATATTATCACCTCTGACTAGACATTTGCTGAGTAACTATATTTAATGGAAATTGTTCATATTTCAGGTTGCTCTTCTATTGCTAGAAAAAGAAGTATTAGATAAGAATGATATGGTTGAACTTTTGGGCCCCAGACCTTTTGTGGAAAAATCTACGTATGAGGAATTTGTGGAAGGAACTGGCAGCTTGGACGAGGACACCTCACTCCCAGAGGGCCTGAAGGACTGGAACAAAGAGCGTGAGGGCAAGAAGGAGGAGCCCACGGACGAGAAGGTGGCCAGCCAGATCAAAGGAGAGATGCCATTCTAATTGTCCGTGTTAGGGTTTCACTTGGCACATTATTTCAGCTTTGGCTTTCTCAGAAGAATGAGAACACTGCTAAGTTGATTTTTAACCAACTTAAAAATCAGCTTACCCGTGTGAAATGGCGGGAAGAGTAATGCTTAATCCTCTGCCTCAGAGTTGCGGTGGGGATGGCAGTGGGATTTCCTGAAGGCACCGAGGGAAACGCAGGCTGTCCCTCAGCCTCGTTGGGCTCTCTGTACGGTGGCCAAACTCGAGGCCAGTGCCCTGGAGCGCTGGTTTTTCTGGGCCCCACAGGAAGGCCTGCGGCTGAGCAGGTGTGGGGGGGCCAGGGAATGAACGTGTAAAATCTTGACACTACTTGAGAGCTACTTTTCTCTTTCCATCATCCGCTCTTCATTCCTTTTACCTTCAGTTTCCCTCTGCAGATGCAGGGGGCCCAGGGGCTGTGAAATTAGATCCTGATAAGAATATTTTGATTTAATATTTTAAAGATCAAATCCTGATCACTTGTGCTGTTTTAATGGAGTGGTTTTCTACAAAGAGCTGTAACATATTTAAAAACAGGATTGTATTGTGTAAATATGGCTTCCTTACATCAGGATAAAATGTAAACTGTGTATTTTTTTTTCCCTGAACACACAAAGGTCATTGTTTATGCTTAGGATACTTTGAGAAAATATCTGCAAGGAATTAAATGTTCTTATTTTGAGGAGGGAATCCTTTCCTCATCACCTTCCACAAGAGGGTTAATACGTCTAGACCTGTGCATCCTGGACTGACATACTGGACTCTGGATATAATGTATACAAATGTAGTGCGAGTCAGTGGGCTTAAGGATCTAGGGTGATGGCGTCAGCTTAACAAACACTCACTGGCCAATCACGAGCAGACTTTCCCTGCACTGTCTAGGTCTGGGGTTCATGTGTAATCATGGTGGGTGGGGGCAGCCTGTTCAGACCGTCTCCTGGTGTCCAGGAAGGAACAATGAGGCTGAGCTGTTGAGGCCCTGCAGCAGTGGCTTCCTGTGACTTCTCAGTAAAGTGGTCGGAACCATCAACTCCCACTCTCCTCTCCTAGAAGGGAGCAGTGTAGTCCGTGGTCATGAAGACAGTGCAGGACTGGGCACATGTAAGGTCGCCATGAGGCAGAGCTGACTTGATGGTAACAGCAACAACAAGTGTAATTTGTGTAGTTGCAGAAAAGGGGAGGTCTGCAGTGTTGTAGCAGACCTCGATCAGAATTCTTACAAGAAGATGGCCTCAGGAAGGCTTACTCAGTCTTCAAACACCATCATTTGGACTTGGAGCTACCGAACGTTTTTGCATTTTTAATACTTCCCTTAACAGCCTCTTTGAATGTTATTCCGACTTGCCTTCTGTATTGTTGGTCTAAGTATGTTGTGGAACAGGGTTTTTCAGACTTAAGATGTAAAAACCTATAGTGTCCTTGCTGGGGCCCTGGAGACAGAGGTGGAAGGTGGTACTCGGCCATAGGACCACGCTTACTGGGGCCTGCCTGTGTGTCAAGGGCATAGCACTG